CTGAACAATATTGAAGAAGTCATTATCAACTAAAATTTATTTCTATCTTCGTTTAGTGCATCACGAAGATTGGGGATATACATAGAAATTGGTCACCAGCACTTCAAAAGATGAGTGTTAGATTCCTATCCTTCAGAAATACAGAGATAAAGATAAACTAGGATTTGGAACAAGAAAGTACCTTCCGATTGTTCAGTCAAAGCAAATATTTATTAAGCATTTGTAATGTCTCAGGCACTACGCTAGGAAAATGATAGGAACAAGATTTTGTAACAAAGAGGTCACAGATGACCTTGGCTTTCAGTAGTGTGATGAATACCAAAACCAAACAGCAGTGGGATGAGTGAAAAGTTGAGTACAAAGAACTACTTAAGAAATGTGGCTGGGAAGGGAAGAAGAGAGATGAATTTTAAAGAGGAATGTGAAATCAGAGGAAGATGCTACTTTTATACTGTTGATGTTTTTCTGTTTTGCTTTATTGTTGTCTGTGTCTAAGAATGCTGAAAGGCTGACGGGAAGGAGCCTTTGGCAAGAGATGAACAACTGAGTGGAGCACTCCCAAAGGCAGGAGTGGATGGGATACAGAGCCCAGGTACAGAGATCTGTCTTAGTGTAAATACAATTTCTTTCAGTGTACCTGGGGAAGAAGAAACGTTTTTTTGAAAAAAAAAAAAAAAAGAGCATGGGATTCTTCTCTCATAGCTCTATTAGTTCTGAAGTGGATGGCAAGATTATCTAAGAGTAAGACAGCATAGGAACTTGGGCCTGGCACAAACAATGCCGGATGGCCAGGAGGAAGGCGCAATAAGTGCCACCACCCCAATACCCCTTACTCAAAATTGCAGACACAACAGATTATGATCTCCCTTCTGTTTACTTTCATACAGATGTGAAATCACTATTCCGCATGCACAGCTAATCAAGGTTTGACTGCTTTACGACCTTTCTGGGATGGCAACAATGAGCAGTCCACCATCTTGCACCACAGTGCAGGCTCAGAACATGGTTACCAGGCAATGGTACCAGTTTCAAATAGTCTGCCACTTTACGGATAAAGGTGTCCCCAGCTTATAAAAGCAGCCAAGCAGAGCCAGCCCATGAATCAGTTCGGAGAACCCTCCTTTCCTTTGTGTTGCCTCCCTTGTGCGCAAGCATAAAGCTTAATAAGACCTGTCTGAAAATTGTTCTGGGGTTTCCTCTCAATTTCTATCCTAGGAAACTCAATAACCCCAATGCTGGTAGCAAGAGTATAGATTAGACAAAAGGATAAGGGGGTTGAGAAGAGTAGAGAATACTTCAAATAGATTCTGCAAAGAACAGAATCAAGTGCTGACGAGGAAAACTCTAGGAAATTCTTTGATGACCAGTTGAAACAGGTGACCATGAATTTACAGGAGTGCACAGCTAGATGCTAGTATTTTCCCCAGCTGGTGTCAGCAACTCAGTTCAAACATTCAAGAAGGTAAAGAACTGACATGGTCCAGGGCTGAGAATCTGCCAGCAAAAGGCTACAGAAGGATAATGGTACAACTGAGCATACTGGTATGAGTGACCAAAGACCAGGAGTAACTGAGGTAACAGAGTAAGGGTTAGAAAGATGAAAAACTATAAGCACAGAATGGCAGGTTTGAGCTTTGGGTGTCAGAAGGGGACCCGTTTCAGATTGGGGCATGTCAGTCCTGCTCCCCCACCCCCAAGCACCCATCTCTAGCAATGGCCGGACTGTATGTTGTCTATGGCTCCTGCTCTCAGCAGGCTCTACCTTCTCCTTTTATCCCTTCTGGTTGTTGTTGGTTTCTCTTTGGGCCTCGCCATCCCATTTGTCCTCTCATGCTGCCCACACCTCTGCAAGTAGTCTAGTTCCTTTATTAAAATCTCTTTCTTTGAACCATCCGGCATGAATTCTAATTCCTGATGAGACCCTGATTTATCCAGATACACATAATGTCATTCACATGGGGCTTTCATTAAAATTAAACTAAAACCAAATATTCCTGGCTTTTTGTCTTGTTGTGCCTTTCAATAAAATTATAATACAATAAAAGTTAAAATCACATACCCCCCCAAATCACAGAACCTTATAAGTGGAAAAGGCCTTAAAAATTTCATCAAAGCTTACAGATGAAACTAAGGGCCAAACTTGCCAACGCAGCAGAGCTGGCAAGCAGCAGAGGCAGAAGCATGCAGTGCTGCATAGTGATAGCCAAGGCTAACTCAGTGTCAGGTAACATTCCAGGGGCCTGCTTGGCTCCACCTTGGGACAGTTTCCATTCCGATGACCTAAAACCCAGATTTCCCAAGTCCCGGTGTCCACTGTTCTTTCCATTCTTGGCACCAAGAGTTACTGTAAGTGGGAAATAGTACGTAGAAGGAATTACTGAAACCAAAACCATAAATAAAGCAAACCTTTTTACTGGCCTACCCCAGTAAAAAGTTAAAGAATGTTCATGAAGTTTTTTTAGCAAACCTAATACAATTTTCCAGGAAAAAAGGGGGAAGGGGTACCTAATAAATCAGTTTCAAATTCCTGTGCCTGACCTTCAAGGCACCCCGTAATCCAAAATGCACTCATTCACCAGCCAGTGGGGCTTTGTTCCTGGTATGCTGCCTAGATAGATGTTCACCTGCCTTCCCTCTGAAGGGCAACATCAAGGGCTGACCTCAATGAAGCCTCCCAATTACTCTACCCCAATACATGCTTCCCTTCTCTGAATCCCTGCTGTACTTACACTCAGTACTACAGTTTAGTTCTTAGCCATTCTTTGAGAGAGCAAAAATGCCCCTTCTGAATGTAGGCTAACATTATTTTATTTCTAATGTGTGTGTCAGGCTGTATACTAAAATTGGGAGATACAAAAATGACTGAAACTAATCCCTGTCCAGCAAGAGCTTAGTCTTTTGACAGATATGTAAATGTCAGTCATAGCTATAGCCCCTAAGACAAGACGAGGATAAGACAAGTGCTAAGTGATTACAGGATTCACTGAATTGGAAATTTTCAAAACAGGCAGAACACTTAGAAATAATCTAGTTTTGTGTATTCTCTGACTACAGCGAAAAGAAAACTGAAGCCCAAGAGGCTAAGTAACTCAGCCCAGGCTACAAAGCAGGTGGGTGGTAGTGCATGGACCAGGAAATGGTTGCTTTGGCTACTAAGCCAAATACCTTTTGACTAATTTTCAAACTGCAGTTCTAGGATGCCATAAGAGTATGTCCACAGCTTTAAGATTCATCCTTTTTCTACAATTCATTTAAGTTTGTGTTTTTATCAATAATAATTATTTTAAATTAACATAAACATACACTGCATCATGTGATTATAACTGAAAACTACCACCATTCGATTTCACCAGGCACTCCAGGGATCCAAGAGCATTCCCCAGGGTCTGAGAACAATCAACACTTCCAGCATCCTGCTTAGCAGTGTGATCAATGTTATTTCCTATTCCAGTCAATTTCAAAATCCTCTCTACTCAACACTGGCCTGAAACTCATCCATTCAATAAACATTTAAGCTCCTACTATGTGGTAGGTGCTGCACCAGGAATCCTGGCTAGATGATAAGTAAACTGGAGAATGGGTGAAAAAGTATGAGACTGAGAGATTAACTGTGCAATTAGCATTTCTTATATGCCTAATCCTGCTACTGGATGACACTAGAAATTGTCCAAGGTCCTTTATTAGAAAGCTGCCTTTGCAAAATTTTTTGAGCACCAATTTCATTTCCCATAAGATTCATATACAACAGGCTCTCAAATGTTTGTGGAATGAAAATTTAACTTAGCAGGTTAATAATCATCTTTTTGAGAGGTAACTGACAAAGAAAAATTATTTTCTGAAACTTCCAATAGTTGTTCAAGTTACAATGGAGGATCCTCTGCTTCTCTGCTTAAAATTAATAAGTTTCTACTTAAACAGAAGAGAACATTTAAGCACTAGGCACATATCATCCTCTTTCTATTACCACCCTTTGAGTCAACTTTCAACACACATATGATCCTTGGGAAGCTTTTGGATTTCAGTTCCTTTGTCATTAGAGTAGGTTACAGAGCCTGGCCTAACATAAAGAAAGTATTATTACTCATTAGGACACGGATCCACGTTCACCTCAGTTAACACTAGCGTTCCAATATAGTGCACCCAAATGATTTCATTAAGGTGTTGCTGATTTTCAAAGCGTTTTTAAAAAAGTTTTCCTTGTAAGTTTACTCAGATTCATAAAAACAATGAAAAAAAATTTTTCATACCTATTAGTACGATTAACCTTTAGCAACTAAAAATAGCTTATTTCCATTTTAAGACAAGCTCTTTCAAGAACTGCTTATTGGAGTTAAAAATTTGTCTGTTTACTAAATCTTGGGACACCAAGTGAAGCACCACCAGGCTTAAAGAAGACAGCACAGTGGTTGGTTGTGCAGGCACTGAATAACTATACTGCGGGCTAGTTACCTAACCACTCCGACCTTGTTTTCCCCATCTGGAAAATGGGTACACTACAACAGCACCTACCGCTAATGGAATGAAACCAGTCAGTGGGTGTTAAAGGCTTAGAGAACAGTGACAGACACCTAGGAAATGCTCGGTATTGCTCTAAACTGATGTAAACCTAAGCAAAACGTGCCTCACATTCGCTCTACAAATAAATTCTCAAACCTAACTCAGTGACAACGATGCAGTGGCGCAAGGCAGTAGGTGAGGCCAACCGGGGTCAACGTTCCGGAGGCCAGGGCCCCGCGACGGGCGCGGACCGTGGACGCGACAGTGCGGCTCCCTCCCCCACACGGTCAGGGACTGGGGAGCCGAAGAGGAGCGCGAGGTGGGGGCAGGACCGCGCGGCTCCCTCCTCCGCACGGCCAGGGACTGGAGAGCGGGACAGGGGGCTGACCACGGGCGCTGGCCGACCGCCACTCCCGCCCGCCTCTCCAGGAGCGAGGTCCGCCACCCTGCCCGTCCGTGCCTCCCCAGGCTGGCCCCCAGCCAGGACCTCCAGGACCACATACCTCCAGCCTGCCTGCCGCCCCCTCGAACCGCTCCGACAAGGACCCTGCAGCTCTCGCGAAGAGCTCTCAGGCCCGGGCCCCACCAACGCGGCCCGCCACTTCCGCCCGCAGAGAGCGCCGACGGCGTCGATCCGCCGGGTAGTCGAGCGCCGAGTTTTCGATGAGCCGACCTCTAGGGAGGAGCGGGTGGTAGGGGGAGGTAGGCGAGCTGAATGCACACTTGCGGGGCGCGCGGTTGGTACCTGTGCCCTCCGATACCCTCCAGGAGGCGGAGGATGACCCTCTTTCTGGGCGTTTGTGGTGGGCTCTGCACTGGATCAGGACGCTGTGACTTCACCCCAGGCCCTGAGAGGCTAAGTGACACACAAAAGCCACAGGACCATGGAAATTACGGAAGAGAAAGCCGGTCCACAGACTGGAAACCCTGCGGGTTGAATGTTTAAATTCAACAAACTCACTGAACACCTCCATGGCCTAGGTGCTGTGCAGGAGCCCTGGATATACAAAAGCAGTCACTTCCCTTCAGGATTTCCCTGGGCTGAGGGTAAACCGTACCATGGCAAGAGGAAAAGGAATGTTACTGAGTGACTGCAGCAGTCTAGGCAAGAAATTACCGTGGCCTGCACTGAAGAGATCATGGTGAGAATGGGAGAAAGTGGTGATGAGAAAATGCGAAAATACTCTTCTGGTTGCTTCTGTTTTATTAGCAAAAGAAGCAGCAGGGTCATCCGTGAGCATGGAGGATGAGGGACAAGGAAGGTTTGAGGAGAAAGAGTGAAATCTTAGTCTTGAATATTGTGAAGCATAATACTAAGAAAACGTAGTAAGATTTCCAGACAGGACTGAAAGCCTTCTTGGGATGTGCTGTCCTAACTCATGATGCTTGTCCATTTTTGGCTGCTCTGGTGTAGGTAAGTAGTTGAAATTTAGTGTAACCAAGGTTGGAGTTTTACAAAGCATAAGGAGCAGGAAGCAAAGGAGTTGAGAGTCTATGCAAAGAAATGGCATTATGGAGGACAATAGAGTTTAAGCTTATCTGACAGGGTTTTTAGAGGGATTTTTCTGGTTGTCCTGGAATTGGCCACTTAGACTGGAAAAGGTGGCAGTTAACTAGAGTGACCCCAGTGAGATAACTGGGTCTTGTCTGGTATCCTGGCTTAATAATAAAGAGTGCCCCTTTTCCTGTCGAAAGCGTCCCCTGTTTGGATGATACATGGTCACCCTAAAGTCACTCCACATTGTAAAGAGAGCCCCACACAGTTGGGCTCAGATACTCTTTCGAGGCTTGGAAGGGATTCACCAACTGGCTGTGAGCCTGGTTGGTACTTGCTGACCTGAAGCATACTGGGGGCTGTGCTTGCTGCCATTGGAGTGGAGCTGAGCATGGGGGCATAGTTCTTGGGAGAGCTGGCCTGCCATTGGGACTATATGTGACCCAGAGTATGCCATCTTCTTCCAGTCTAGAAGTTCCCAAAGGTAGGAGACCTATTGGCGTGGCTGGTTACAGCTGAAGAGAGAGGAGCATAACCATGGGCAGAGGCACAGCATGGTAGGCCTTGCCACCTTACCCCAAGAACTCACATGTGCACCTCACAGAAACTTTGTGGTTGCCCAATCTGTATGTGTCACATGAATGCCCATCAGAGAGCATCCACAGCAAGGGGCCCCTGTACCCAAGATGATTTGACCAGCCTCTGTCCTGGGTCACTTCAGTGTTTTACAATGGGCCTATGAATGGAGAAGTCATAGTGGCAGGGATGGAGCTGCACGGACCCCTGTTAACAAGGTGATCTAGACAGTGCGACCACCCACTTCAGCCACAGTGGCCAATGTGCGTTGTATTTCCCTCGAAGAAACCAGGCAGCCATTTGGTGGCAACTTGGTTTCCTCAGACCCAGATACACATCCTGGGTTTGGGTTTGTCTTCCCTGCCTGCAGGTCCTGGCAAGCATCGCTATTGAATAGCTCACATAGTGTCTGATTTATCATCATGGGATTTCCCATAATATCACCTGTGATCAGGGACCCCTTAAGAGTGAGAAAGGTATGACAAAGGGAGCAATACCACAAGATCACTGATTCTGCCGCACATCACAAACCCGGAAGCTGCCATCCTGATGGAACATTAGAATGGCTTCTGAAGGCACAGCTAAGGCTCTGGCTTGGGGATAGCATTTTGCAGGGTTGGGATGCTATGCTATGGAATGCAATACATATTTTCAACTTAACACCAGTGTATAGTGCTGCATCCCTGATAGAGTCCTGGCTCCTCTAGCAGGAGAGGACACTCTGCCAGTGGACACAAAGTTCCACTAAATCTAAAGGCCTCTCTTCATTTGTACTACTCATACAGGCAACAAAAAATTGACCCTTATGATCAGGAGGAAATAGGGGCAGGAAAGATTATTTCTGGAACTCAGGACATGCACTGGACATCTTTTTCATGCCTGGTGATATCAGTTGATATGCAACACAGCAACCCTGGTCTGACAAGGGCATGGCAACCAGAGCCTACACCCATGTCTGGGATGAGGGATGCAGGGACAAAACTCTGGGCCACTTCATCAAGCAAGCAGACCAGGCCAGCCCAAGCAGAAGCGCTATTTGAGGGTGAGGGAATCTAGACGGTGATCAGGGAGAAAATAATGGGAATCATCATGACCTCAGGACCAACAGTGGCAGGACCCACAGCTCTGCTTATCAATACCCCAGATGTGGGGATGACTGGATATCAGAGTGAAGAGTCGGTGTCAGGACAGACTGCACACAACATGGCACTCGAGGGATGGACAGTAGCAGAAGCCATCAGAGCTAACCCATGTTTCTCTGCTGTCCCCTCTGCTCTCTGAAGTCTGCTTTCTGGAAAAGCCTCCCATTTGTGCCTGTGGGCTTTCTTCCTGGACTCAGGGCAAAGTGGAAGCTTTGGAGAATTTATGGGACAACACGCAGGCTTCAGCCAACCAATCTGCCTCCCTCCTCGGGTAGCTCAGAGGCATGTTATTCAGTGTATTCCAGAGCTGCCCTTGAGACAGTTCCAGCATCTTCAGGAATGCCTTCATAGCACATTTTTTTATTGGCTTCCTTCTCTTTCCCCACCTGGCTTCTCCACTCTCCTCTTGGTGTTTCCTGGTATCACCTCCCAAGTTAAATACTAGCTCTTGAAACCATATCTCAGGGATGGCTTCTGCAGGAATCCAGCCAAGATAGTCATTATTACAGACCAAAAACAAACTATACTTATTATGACTCAAATATCTTTTATGTGCTGAATTTGCACACCCATTAGAGAAATATAACCCGAGAAAAAGAAGGTAATATTTTGTAGAGACGCTTTGAGTCCTGGGACTTAGCATGGCTTTATTTTTTTCTCCTTTACATCGGAAGACGTGTAAAAGTGTTGCTCCAGCATGCAATTTCTCAACTGTCCCAGGATCATCCATTTTAAAACACACAGGAAACATGAGTCAGAGACCTGGCAGCAGAGGTTGAAAGGAAATTAAGTTTTCTGTGTCCCTGGCAATGATACCCTGCTTCACAGTGAAACTAAACCCTTTTCTTGTCTCCCCTTTGGGTCTCAGTGACAGGCCATTGCTCAAGTTAGGCAATCCTGCCATTAAGTTGGTATGAATGACACTTGAGGACTCGCAGATCTTTCCTTAAAAAAAAAAAAAAGACAATACTGTATTACTGAAACGACAACACTCAAAAGAGGAAAGAGAATATTTTGCTAATATAAAAATTACTGGTGGTGTTTTCTTTCTTTTCTTAAACTTCTGGTCTGTATCCTAAAGCCAGCTAGCAAATTCTGGTGCAGTATATGCAGAAACTGGCAGCATATAAAATAATTACACAGAAAATTGCAGCAGTAGCTGTTGAAGCAATTAAATATCATTATAGCTTGTGTTTTCAATTCTGCATGAGATTTAGTTTGACCTAGGAAAAATAACTTTGAAGCATGAAATTCCTTTGGTTTTAGTCTTAGAAAATACTATGACAGGCACAGTTTCCTGTTCTTTAGATTTTTTTTAACATTAAATGAACACCTAAAGTGTTTCATAGTGCATGGCATATCAGTTTGTGATGGACCATAATTAGTATAGACTCTAATCCTCAAAACAACTATAATATGCCATATTTTAGTAATCCTTTTTACCAAGACTGGTAATTATTTGGCCTTCTGTTAACTCAGATTATAAATCCCTTGCTGGCAGCTTCCTGTATTATTCATCGTTGTAGATATCACAGAGCCTTATATAACAGGTATTCAATACACCAGCCACCCAGTAATAGCACTAAACACAACCTGTAAATATATTATCTATTTGTTTACTTTTCTTTTTGTCTCCTCCCACTAGGATATATGCTCCTTGAGGAAAGGGACTTTGTATTGTTCACCCATGTCTCACACATGGTAGATGCTCAACAAATAAGTGTTGAATGCAAAACTAAAAAACTAATAATAGCAATACTTTACGATAGTGGCAGAGTTGGGGGAGATCCATGTTTCCAGTTATGTATTTCAAAATATGCTTAATGGTCACATAAGGGCACAAAAATGTGAGCAAAATCTAATATGTAAATCTCAACAATGTAGGAAGGACTGAGGTGTTTCATCAAATACCACCCAATTTTGTCATCCTTCACTTGAGTCTTATAGGTTTAAGATCACAAGAACAATTTAAAATCCTCCAAGGTTGTAACAATTACAACTCTGTTTTAGTAGTTCTTGGATTGGGCCTATTGGTTAAGGAAGCCCCTTGCATCATGTTGTTTTTACCTTGAACTTGCTATCATGTGATCATAGCAAATGCCTTTACGTGGACTTCAGCATCTATGTGAGCTTCAGAGCTCTGTATATGCAAAGTCCTCAGCATAGTCAAATGTCTCCAATCGATTTTACAGCGAAGCAGGGCTCTGTGGTTTTCTACTTGCTTGCTATTTGCATATTTTATTTAAACAACTATAAATAAAGTTGGGCCTACATAGGAATATGGTGTTTCAACAGTGTTACTCCGACCATATGGCTACCGCTGCCACCCAGCGCCTTGATGCAGCTGTGTTTACCACCTGTGTTTATATCAGGGTGTCCCTGGCGGT